CAAGCTCCCAAATACTTTTGACAATTTTTGTCCTTGGAACAGAGCATGTTGCTAAGAGGCCCAAGGACATTTTGACTTTTAGCCACAAAACTGGCTACTTTCTTTGGGGTCTTTAGATCTACACTAACTGCCTACCCAATTCCTACCTCCTATCCTTTTTTTAAAATTTTTTAATTTATTTTTTTTATTTTATGTGTATCCATGTATTGCCTGCATGTAGGTAAGTGCACTGGTGTTGTGCAATGCCCGTGGAGGTCAGAAGAGGCTGTCAGATCCCCTGGACTGGAGTTACAAACAGTTGTTAGCTTCCAAAAGCATCACTATTGGGTTCCTTCTCATTTTTCTTTTGTCTGCCAAGGCTGGACTTGAGAGTGATGGATTCAGGATTTGCTTTCAGGCATTTTGATCACTTTTGGACTTGTTAGAATCAGTGTCAGTTCCCTTGCAAAGGCGTCTAAATAGGGGAAGAAAACAAATTTGGCCGTCATTTTAAAACAATAGTGGGTTGTCTCCCTTAGCTACAGGTGGGCACTACAGTATTGGAGACCAAGATTTGAAGTCTTACATTATTTAATTTTTTTAGTATAACCAAAGTTTGCATTTGAAATGATTGAGATATGCTATATTTATGTTAAAAGAATATGTCTCATTCTCTTTGATAGTGTCACAAATGGTACTTTCTTAAATACTTTCTTAAATATTGATTTATATTTTATGAGATAGTAATTATTTATATTCTTTATCTCATAAGCACACATACTGCTATTATACCACTGGAAAAGAGACATTTTATTTTTTGTAAGAAAGGGTATATATAGAACAGAAAAACTATTATTTGATCCTAGAAAAACTGATCTCATTTAAAATGTACTTCCCTACGAAACAAGAGAGCTTTACTCTTACCTACTTACCCTTCATATTTGTTATTATTTTCTTTCTATTGTTGAAAGATAGATTTGGGAACCAGGATTGTTCTAAGTATGTCAAATGAATCAACCTTAATCTTGAAAACAATTCTATAAGATATTATATGATATAAGGTTTCAATATTACATTTTCAAGTACAACACTCCGAAAACAAGCAGTGTACCAGACCTTAAATAGGACCATAAGTCATAATCCCATTACTGGCACTCACAATGAATTGATTTCAAAGAGATTATAAAGGCACTGATTCCTGATTCCAATTATATTTTTCTATAATGTAGATTCAATATATTATTTTACAGTGTGCTGTGAAACTTAAATGAACATTACACTATTATGAATGGAAAGGAATATTCTCACTAAGGCTCTTTCCAATCAATATAAATAAAAATGGATTGCTGAAAAATATTTTGTCAATATCAGAGAAATTTAATTGTTCCACTCAACTGGGCTACTCTGTACTTTGAATTAATTGGAGAACAATTGATATTTAATAGTAATAGGATGTTTTCCAGTTCTTTGTTCTGCTTTGTGTTTGCTTACTCAAACTGAAAATATAAAGTTGTCAATGTAAAAACCCAACTCTCACCTCAAAAAAGGATAAGAAATAGTTTATTCTGTAGCCAAATAAAATGACCATGACCCAGGAACACAGATTCATATTACCCTAAACTCCATGTCCCAATGTGGTAATGATTTCATGAAGTTTTTATAGTAACAGAACAACCAAATTTTAAAAATCAAGGCACTTTCCAAATATATTGGTAGAAACATCAGGTAAGCAGGTTGCAGAGAAGTGGGGAAATCTCAGTGATAGTCCTCAGATACTATCTGACCACATTCTTTACCTATAGGTTGGTGGAAGCTAGTATTCTGTTTGTAAATTCCAACGGATTTATCTAATAGTCACAAAGATGTAAGGTCACATAGAGAGGAGGGCAGTAAATGGATGCTAAGAGGGCTAAAGATTACCCCAAGATAATTTGACTCTGGACTTGTAACAGTCCAAACTCTACAAAATTACTGAAGTTCTAATCAGTTAATCAACCTTGTAGAAGGTTCAGTGTAAAGTGGGGCTCTTTCCAGGAACTTTTGTTCACAAAGTTCATGCTGACTGGTCTCCTCTTTTTCCCTCTTCCATATATGCTTCATAAGCAGTTCCTGGAAGCTCTACCATCTGTATCCTGAGCCTTCCCATTTCTCATGGCCACCTCTGCTGCCCCACTGACCTGCAGCACCACACCTCTCACTGGGTTATTGCAGTAAACCGTTGTTTCTATTCCATGCTTCTACTCTTGCATCCAGGTGATTGTAGGAGCACAGAGATCATATTGCTTTTCTTCTCCGACCTCACCTAAAGTTTCCTGTCTCACTTAGTAAAAGCCAAATAACCTACTGGAATTTACAAAGCCTAGTATGACATGGCTTCCCACTCCCCCATTCCCTTCTGAGCTTCATCTTCTTACTCATCTTCTCTTGTAGCTCCACAGTGGCCTCATGACTCCTCATGGTTGCTCCAATACTCCATGCTCAGTCCTGCCGAAGGACCTTTGCACAGAAAGCTGTTATTGTACCCAGAAGGCTGATATTTTGAATGTCTATATAACTTATTCCATGACCAAAAGGAAACAGAGTCTTCCCAGCTTCTGGGAACTTGCTCATATGAACCTACAGCAAGGGTGTCAGCATGCATAAGACCCATGCAAACTCTGTTAGACACAAATCCAGCATAGAACTGAGGAAATGGACAGCAGGCCCCAACCTTAGCCGGGGAACTATTGGCAGCTGATCCCTGCTGGAGAGGGAGAGTTGGTCTTCTTTAAGGGATAGGCTAACAGGATCCAGTGGATGAGCTTGTACCGAGGGACATCTGGAGACACAAACTTGAGTCAATAGGCCTTAACATATATGACAGAAAGCATGAAATCCAGGGGACAGGTTAACAGGGGGTGTAGATAGGGGAAGGGGTCAAAACATGATTAAGATGTATTGTATGAAATGCACAAAAATTCAATAAAAATATATATTGAAAAATAATTTTTACTCATTTGCTGCCTTCTCAGTGTGGTCTTTCTCCATAGAATACTTAGCAAATACTTCCAATAAAACCCATACAATAGTTGATATCTCCCCTCCCTGCTTAATTTGTTGCCCTTTATATTTACTACTACTTCACATAACATACTACACACACACACACACACACGTATGTATTGTATGCTGTAAATCTTCTGTCACTCTCATTAAAGTACAAGCTGTGTGATGGCAGATAAGTATTTGGGGTATGAACAGCTAATGCATGTGATAAATAAGCACCAAATAATTTTGATGTTGTTCATTTCATAAGCACAGACTATATTTTATAAGCCTTAGGAAACTTTCATATATATGAGAATAGCTAAATATATTTCTTTTGTTTTTACTGTTTTTCATTCTGTTCTCTTCTAGGGAAAACCAGGTTCCAAGGGGTATGTGGGTGAACCAGGACCAGAAGGTTTAAAGGTAAAGCAGCTGACATTTTTATCAGTATTAAATATAAATTTTCAAAAGAATAAAATTATGACTTTCATACAAATTAAATGAACAAATTCCCAACTTATGGGATACCAGTAAGATATTAAAAATGGTTCAAAGAGCAATTTAGGAGGGATGTAGGTATGTCTGTATTTGTATAAATTTGTAAAAATAGAATGAGATTTTAGCAAACTTCTGCAAATGAGATACAAAATAAAGCATAATTTTATGCAATTTAATAAAGAAATGTCAGGGTGCAAGTCGTGGGTTTGATGCAGGCAATGAACTAGAACTTTTGAGGTCATTTTACCACTAGTTAGAAATATCACTTTATGAAGTCAGAATTCTTTAATAAATAGTAAACAGTGGGTCCACCTAAGTCAATTCCTTATACAACCATTGAGTAGCCTTGATCACTATATGACATTCAAAGGATGTTCGCCTGTTCTTTTTTCTTTAAAGCTGTAATGAAATGCTTCTTAAATAAATAAATAAATAAATAAATAAATAAATAAATAAATAAAATATTTAGCATTTTGGGGCTGGAGAGATAGCTCAGCAGTTAAGAGTACTGACTGTTCTTCCAGAGGACCTGGGTTCCATTCCCAGCACCCACATTGTGACTAGAAACTGTTCATAATTCCAGTTCCAGGGGATGCAATGCCCCCGGCCTCTGTGGACATTGCACAACATGGGTGCACTTACATACATGCAAGCAAAACACTCATTAAATAAATAAATAATAAATACATAAATAAACAAAAATATAAAATGGTCTGCAGTTTAATGTGTGCTGTATCAAGGCCTGAAAGACACTTGCTTGTAAGAACTGCTAAATTTTGCAGATTTAAAATTTTAAAAAATCCAAAACCAGCCAGAGCATTATTATCAAATTTAACAAGC